ACGAACACACGAATGGTAAGAGTGTTAGTCGGGCCCCACAATACACTGCACCCTGATAATGCATTGTAATTGGCCAAAGCAATGCACCTGACCACAGACGGTATTTTAGTAACTGTGCAGTATCTTACCGCATACTCAGATTCCCTAAGATACTGCTTAGTGAATTGTCCCCTCTGTTCAAAGTTCACGGTGGAACTTTCGTTAGGTTTGAATGTTCGACCGCGAACCGAACAGGGGGGGGTGTTAGGCCCATCACTAATGTATATCATTCTTGTTTAGTAACAGCACATTATTATACTACAGAGATTTGTGTTCTTTGCTTTAGTGCAAAGTGACCTATAAGATACAAAGCAAAACAGCTGTTCTTTTGCAAGAGACGTTGCACTTTGGAAAGAAATTTTACTCAGAGCTTAATGAATGAGGTGAAGCACAGCTGACTTCCATCATCCAATCACTTTCCAGCAAAAATGCTGTTTTTTTTCTTGCACATGATTGAGTATTCTCTGCCAAGTGAAATTCCATCACATTCACTGAGCTCTGAGGAAAATTCCCTTGCAAAGTATAAGCAAAGTACAACTTCCCTTATTTTGCTTTAGTAAATTAACCCTAGTAGGGTGTATATACACTATGTATGTACTGCATGTATCTATCTATCTATCTATCTATATATATATATATATATATATATATACACACACACACACACAGGTGAAACTCGAAAAATTAGAATATCGTGCAAAAGTTCATTTATTTCAGTAATGCAACTTAAAAGGTGAAACTAATATATGAGATAGACTCATTACATGCAAAGCAAGATAGTTCAAGCCGTGATTTGTCACAATTGTGATGATTATGGCTTACAGCTCATGAAAACCCCAAGCTCAGTGGTAGATGCATTTTATTGAGTTCATACCATTCCAAACTGTGGTTTTAAAAGCTTGCCAGTACACTTTTATTAACCACTTCCCGTCCGATCCATGTATATAAATGGCTGGCCGGGAGCAGTGCAGCGGTGGGTGGCCATTTATAAACGTCCTCCCTGCCCCCTGCCCCCTGCCCCCTGCTTGTGCACGCTCCCTGGGAGCGTGAGGCACCACGATCCGGTGCCCGCTGTGCCCGCTGTGATTGTTGTGTGAGGTCCCGATCATGTGATCACAGATTGGCCAATCCGTGATCACATGAATAGTAGTAAGCAAGATGTCACTTCTGACATCATTGCTTACTATATGTGAAATCTGTGAATGATCACAGAGGGCACATGGTACAAGGCTATTCATAACAGCCTTGTACCATGTGACAAGCTGTGACCAATCACAGCTCACACAGTATTTCTCAATGGCCAGAGAGAAGTAGAAATTATTGCTTTTACAGCCTTTATGGGTATAAAAGCAATCCGTGAAAAAAAATCTTCATCACCCCCCCCCCCCCCCTTCCCCACAAGTAGTACAGTGTCACTATGGTGACAGTGTACTGCTAGGGTGACAATATGTTAAAAAAAAAAACAAAAACAACTAATATTAAAAAAAAAAATGTAAAATTTTTTTTAGAAAAATTATAATGTTTGGTTATAAACTAATTTGGGTTATTTTTTTTTTTACTAAAAAGATAATAAATGTTGGCCAAGATTTATGAAGAAAGATTATTTATTTGCAAAATTTTATAAGAAAAACACTTTTTTAAAAAAATTTTTGGACTTTCATTTATATGACAAAAAATATAAAAATCCCAGTGGTAAATAAATACCACCAAATAAAGTTTTAAATGTCTCAAAAAAATGCTAAAAAATTCATATGGGTACAGTGCTGCATGATCGCGCAATTGTCATTCAAAGTGTGATAGCACTGAAAGCTGAAAATTGGCCTGGACAGGAAGGGGGGTGAAAATATCCAGACTTGAAGTGGTTAAACAACTGAAAGTAAAAGTGTCTGCCTACACAGGGGATTTTCACCAGCAAAAGAAGTAACAAAGTATCAAACCACCAAGCTTTCTCTTCCGCAGCACTGCTTTTCTTATCACTGGTCCCTCAGACCATATCACCCAGAGTCTCCTGGCTGTCTGGGCTTTCCTGGCTTAGTCAGCATTGAGTTATAGCTCTCTGCTGCAGGGGCCCACTCCTGCCCTCTCAATAGAGATTCTCCTGATACCCTGTTCTCTTACATCCCTCTGACACTTGGACTTCCAGACTGCCTCTGCCCCCTGGACTTGGACTGGTCGCCTCAGCCCTCCCAGTCCTCTAGACTCATTCAGGTGCTCTCTCAGTCCTGTGGGTAAGAAATGTCTGCAAAATGGTGTGCAGTCTGTCATGTGAATTACCTTCTCCTAATGGGAGTACACCAGTGGTTTTGTTTTTGTGCTGCCCTAGGCAACACAAAAATTGGCTTGGAGAGACCCTGACACCAACACTCCATGAAGAGAGCCTGACATTGACCAACAACACCCCAGCCCGCCCCCCCCCCCCTCACCCTAGAGAGCCTTCCACTACCACTGCTCCCCATACACTGTCAACTCCCCCCCCCCTTGGAAAGAGATAAGACACACACCTTCACAGCTCTGGACATCCTCGGGAACAAGAGTCAGGCTTTATATACACCATCAAGCAGCCCGCAGTCTCTCTCAGATCCCACTTGGTCCCCGTGATGCATGTGTCCCTTCTTCCTTTCCTTCTTTTTGGTGTACAGCGCTGCCCCTCTGAAAAATGCTGCTACCCCCCCCTGAAAAATGCTGCCCTAGGCAAATGCCTTGTTTGCCTTGTGGTAAATACACCCCTGAGTACACCTGTCTACTAGACGGAGAACACAACTGTCTCCTGATGGGAGCTCTGAGCTATGCCCAAGCTTATCATTATTGCAGCTGTGCACACCTGCACACACACCCTGCTTGTCTTCTGCAATACCTGGACACTAGGTTGGAGACATCCTTAATCCCAAAGCACTTTGCAGTCTCCAAACTATGGAGCCTAATCCGGGAATACCAAAATTAGGTAAAAACTGTTTTTTCTGGCTAGACTCCGGAGTCCCGCACTCTACATACATGTGAACCCTGTGTGCTATCTACAACCATTTTTGCAGCGGCAGGGTCTAGCACTGTCAATATATATATTGTAGTGGGGTTTGCTTGGCAGTGCGTGAGTGTGACCCCCCCTGGGTGAGTTCACAACACAAAAAAAAACAGGCACAGCAAAACAGCAGGGTAGGTGAAAAAAACAAAAAGGTGAGGTTTATTTACACTATTTACAAGAAAAACATCAAACCAAAAAGAAACATTAAATTAAATCCTTGCCAACTTGGCCACTTACTATACAATAGCTTCCCTAGCTATCCACTAGGTACATCCTTATGCTACACCCAGTCCCTATCAGTTGGAGGCTAGCCACACCAGGCTTTGTCTCACCACACAGACAGGTATGGTGCTCCCCAGTCTACTCAGGCACAGATCTGGTTCCAGTATGGAGCAACTCCCTAAGCAGGCTGGGAAGTTTTATAGAGGCCCTAATGAGCCGACTACCTTCAGCTGGTCTCATTATCTCACTGCTGAAGGCTCAGCAGTTCCCCCTAGTGGAACAAATCCACATAGAGCCTAAATCTCGGACAGATATATATGCTGTCGTGGACGCAACCAGGTGATTTTACCTGCCTACTGTCACAATATATATATATATATATATTGTATATCTGCTGGGCTGCAGCTGATAATTGCAGCAGAATTTCTTCCTTTGCTACTGCTATATTTTTCTTCTGCAGTGCGGACAGAGTTAAATGGAATATTCATTAATGCAGAAGTTCAGAAGACATCTTTAAGGAGACCACTTTGCAATACTTGTCAATGGAGTGTCTCCAGTTCAGGAGGCCTCTTAGCTGGATCTAGATCGATCCTGGAGGATGGTGAGTGGCTGATGCAACAAAGCAAGAAGGGTTGTGTCTGCAATCTGCTGAGAGGAAAGGAGAAGACAGTTTTAAAGCGAGCAAGGGGTCAGAGAGAGACTGGGCTGCTGGCTGGCCACAGGGGCTCAGGACCTTGCCTCAGAGACTGGGAAATTTCTACCTGGGAGGGTGTGAAGTTTGATTTTGGCACGATCAGATTGTACTAGAGAGCACCCCTACAACTTGTAAGGAAGAGGAACTGTCTCAGCAGATTGAAAGAGAGAAATCACAGCATCGTCTATCCCTGTTTGACTTGAACTTGAATTTTACTGAATCATAATGTGTTTACGGAGAGGGTATCCTGCATCTGGTAAGAAACTAACATCACACACGTTAATCTATTGCTTGCTGAGAACTGTTGTGATTTCTTCAAGGGCCCTAACTTTGCCAGTTAATATTTTTTTCATCATTCACTGACCAGTGTAACAAAATGGGGACTGTTATAGCAAGGTGGAACTGTCTTACATCCTGTTAATAGGTATGGGCAGTTCAGTTCTGTTATTTACTGTTAGTCAGAATACTAAAGGTGTTTAACCATATCCCTCAGAGTAACGTTATTGTCTTATTGCTTATTGATCGTATTGATTGTTTGTATAACTACAGTTTCTATTCCTCTATTCTTTGCGAACATATACAAAAGAAACCTCTGATCTTTATCTAAATGGTAACAGCAGGTTAAGGGATGTGTCAACATGTTTGTCTTTGCTTCAGAACTGCTGCTCTTCCCATACAAGTAAATGGGGATGCAAAAGTGTCTTGAAACAGGTTAATGCAGCTTTGAAAAAAGGTGAAGTCCTGGTCAATTGCACCTGTCAATACAATGTGAATAGCTTAAGAAGTGTCTCAAACTGGATATCAAAGTGGGTATCAAATGCTGATTGAATGCTCTCAAAACAATCTGCATTTTTCCACCAAGTCTAAAAACCTTCAACACAGGTCCTAAACAGGTTTTCTGATTAGTTGGACTGAGTGCTGAAGGGAATTTATATTGTTAGATAATGGCACTAACAATTTTATTTTCTTATATCTACACATGTATTAAATTATTACATGCTATGGCCAGGGGCGAACTGACAACTCATGGGGCCCCAGGCATTAGGGGATCATGGGTCCCCTGTGTCCTTGCCCAAACTCAAAAAAGCCTATGAAAAAGGTACCAGGGGCATCTCATGGGGCCCCCTACTGACCCCGGGCCCTCGGGCAGTGCCCGAGTTTCCAAATGGTCAGTGCGCCCCTGGCTATGGCTAATGTTAGCCATACACTAGTTGAAAAATAATTTGAATGTGTTTTCAAAAAACAACTACACGGTCATGAGAACAAGCGAAATTGCCATCATGTAATGACCAATCATTAAACAATAAATCATTCAATGGATACACTGTAAATGAATCCATTTTTTGTTTCTTTTGTCACATAAGCGCAATACAAACAGTTTGATTTTTAACAGGCGAGAAACACATTAACCAATTTATTACCCGTTCAGCAGAAGTTTTCCAAATTTTTCCTTCAATTTTTTGGCTCAAAAAACATCACAACTGATTTTCGATTTATGCTTATTAACTGGCGGAAAAAAAAAAAAACAAACTGTCCGAATGACAGATTTTCAAATGATTTTTCATTCAGTGTATGGGCACCATTAAACAAAACAGCTTGCTTTCTTTTTATGATCCTTGAAGTCAAGGAGAAATTTATTCACTACATACTATCATTTACCGTTCAAAGAATATTTCATTGGAAGGTTTGCACAGAGATGGCACGTTTGAAAATCTCTGCAACTAATGTGAGGGCTTTTACCATGCATGATCACTCATTATAGCTGAGATATTAACACTTGCACTACCTCATTTTCATTAGCGATACTTGGCTGATCAAACTGATAGAAATAAAATGACAGACCATATGGTGTGTTTTACAATGTGTGCTTTTAGCCTAAACTGTATGTTTTTCAGGTGCATGAACTGTAAAACTTGCAAATAAAGTATATGAAGTTGATTACAGATTGCCAAACACAATTTTACTGATACATTATATAGCCATGGACATCTGACCATCAGAGACCATCTCAGATACTGAATATGACCTTGTTGAACATCCCATTCCAAAATGAAGGGCTTTAATATGGAGCTACTACACTCCTATCTTTGCAGCTATAGCAGCTTCCACTGATCTGGAAGGGTTTTTCCAGAAGAGCACCTGTAGAGTCTGGTAATGACTGTAACAAAGAACAAAAACAAAAGCGCACCAACCTTGTGCATTACCTCATTAAGTAAACAATAAATTTATTAAGTTAAGATGTATACTCACAAAAATAACAATATAAAAAGCATAAAAAATCCAACATCAGCAGACATGTGCAGGTCCCATCTAGAGGGGAGGCTCTCAGGATGAAGCTGACGCGTTTCGAAGGGTGACCCTTCTTCCTCAGAGCTAGCTCTGTGTTTTTGTTATTTGTTACAGCTGTTATTGGGCTTCCTCAGCCTTGTGTTAGAGCTGCACAGCCTTTGATCTGCCACTGGATGAACTTTCATATATGGTTCACCCTGCAGATTTCTGATCTGGGTCTTTGAATGCAGGAGGTTTTTGTTTCTGTATCCATGAGTCTGGTAATGATGTTGGGTGAAAAAAAAAAAATATAACTGGGCCACAGTTGGCATTCCAATTAATCCCAAAGGTGTTCAAAGTGGATAAGGTCAATATTCTATGGAAAATCACTCCACACAGAACCCATCAAAACAGAGTATGGGAAGATATAGACTGATAACGATGATAAGGGTGGGAAAGTGCTGTGGATTTAGGGAATTAGGGGGAGAGAGGGGAGGGATGGGGGGGGGGGATAGGGAAAAATATGATATGAGACAATGGGGATATACAGGAGAAGCTTGATATCGTTTCGTTTTTTTTTGTTGTTCTCAATTTTATGTGTATTTCATGTTTTTTTTGTAATGAAAAAAAAATCTAATAAAAGATATAATAAAAAAAAAAACAGAGCTTGGGCACATGATAGGCCCCAAAAAACATAATCAAAGTACATTTGCTACACATTGTACATTCTGCACCTCTTTACCCACTATTGGTCCCTGGCTGCTATTACTGCAAATTACAGCTGGGACACACTCTACTGTATATTACAAGAGCAGCTGCAGCCACCCCTGTATAAAATAATACTTCCAGGTAATGTCTATAAATATCATTAAGAAAACAAAATTATTGTAAATTAAAGAACTTAAAGAAGAATAGCATGCCCTTTTATCTACATTAAGGGCTTATTCACACAAGTCCACAATAACGCGTTCCATTACTGTGCGGGTTGGTGTCTGTGTGAGGTCCATCAGGGGGGTGAGGTGATGCTCATTTCAGCTCATTGCACTCTTTATTTTTTTTAATTTCAAACTTTATTTGAAGTGTCACATAGTAACATTTTTCATTCTTGTCTCTGCAGAACAGTGCAGTTCACTGCAGTGCTATGGCATATGTTGCTACCCAGTGCACTGCAGAAAATTGCTGCAGGTCTGCATTTTTCTGCACCACACTGTACATCACGGAAGTACTGTGGTGTGAACTATGCGCATAGAAAACAGTTATTTTCTCTAAGCCCTAGTGATGATCAGCTATCTTCTTGTACAGAAAAACGCAGGTCATTGCATATAGTGTGAACACCTACTAACATTACTGTTTTCAAAACTAATACTGGTCAAACTAGAAAAAAAGAACATTTTTTAACATTATTTTTGTCTATGAATTGCATGAAAATAAAATAATTTTTGGAAGGCTGTCTTGCCAAAAGACCCCCCCATCAAAAAAATGTATGCATGTATTAACTTTACCATTTTAATTCTCTACAATTGGATTGTATGATGTATAACACACTTTAATGCCATTTAAAGAGTTAATGCGGTTCATAATTTCAAAACGACTTCTTTAGACAGTTGTGTTATCCTTAACCCTTTGGCGCCGGCGCCTGCCGGCCCTTTAAGGGTTTCAGAAGCCAGGAGGCAGGCAGAGTTTTAGGGTCATGTGACCGCCGTGATTCGCTGTCACATGATCGGGAAAGGTCCCGATCAAAAGAGCAAATCGGGACCTTTCCGTGAATACCGGAAATGTGTGCTGGGAGCGTGCGCTCTCAGCACATATGTTTTTTTTTTTATTGCACGCAAATGTGCGGCTGCTCGGCATCAAGGCCCAGACGCTGAGAGGCTGCACATTTGCATGCACTCGGCGTGAAGAGGTTAAAGCTCATATCCACATTTAATGTCTCTTTAAATAGCTTGGCACAAAAAATTATTTACTGCACTAACAGGTGCACTTGGTAGGGGTGCTGTTTTGTATACAGGTGAAACTCGAAAAAATTAGAATATCGTATAAAAGTTAATTTATTTCAGTAATACAACTTAAAAGGTGAAACTAATATATGAGATAGACTCATTACATGCAAAGCAAGATAGTTCAAGCCGTGATTTGTCATAATTGTGATGATTATGGCTTACAGCTCATGAAAACCCCCAAATCCACAATCTCAGAAAATTAGAATATTGTGAAAAGGTGCAATATTCTCGGCTCAAAGTGTCCCACTCTAATCAGCTAATTAAGCCATAACACCTGCAAAGGTTTCCTGAGCCTTTCAATGGTCTCTCAGTCTGGTTCAGTAGGAATCCCAATCATGGAAAAGACTGCTGACCTGACAGTTGTACAGAAAACCATCATTGACACCCTCCATAAAGAGGGAAAGCCTCAAAAGGTAATTGCAAAAGAAGTTGGATGTTCCCAAAGTGCTGTATCAAAGCACATTAATAGAAAGTTATGTGGAAGGGAAAAGTGTGGAAGAAAAAAGGTGCACAAGCAGCAGGGATGACCACAGCCTGGAGAGGATTGTCAGGAAAAGGCCATTCAAAAGTGTTGGGGACTTTCACAAGGAATGGACTGAGGCTGGAATCAGTGCATCAAGAGCCATCACACCAGACGGATCCTGGACATGGGCTTCAAATGTCGTATTCCTCTTGTCAAGCGCTCCTGAACAACAAACAACTTCAGAAGTGTCTTACCTGGGCTAAAGAAAAACAGAACTGGTCTGTTGCTCAGTGGTCCAAAGTCCTCTTTTCTGATGAGAGCCATGTCATCTGCTGTTGTTGGTCCACTGTGCTTCATTAAGTCCAGGGTCAACGCAGCCGTCTACTAGGAGATTTTGGAGCACTTCATGCTTCCTTCCGCAGACGAGCTTTATGGGGATGCTGACTTCATTTCCAGCAGGACTTGGCGCCTGCCCACACTGACAAAAGCACCAAAACATGTTTCAATGACCGTGGGATTACTGTGCTTGATTGGCCAGCAAACTCGCCTGACCTGAACCCCATAGAGAATCTATGGGGCATTGCCAAGAGAAAAATGAGAGACATGAGACCGAACAATGCAGAAGAGTTGAAGGCCGCTATTGAAGCATCCTGGTCTTCCATAACACCTCAGCAGTGCCACAGGCTGATAGCTTCCATGCCACGCCGCATTGAGGCAGTAATTGCTGCAAAAGGGGCCCAAACCAAGTACTGAGTACATATGCATGCTTATACTTTTCAGAGGTCCGATATTGTTCTATGTACAATCCTTATTTTATTGATTGCATGTAATATTCTAATTTTCTGAGATTGTGGATTTGTAGTTTTCATGAGCTGTAAGCCATAATCATCACAATTATGACAAATCACGGCTTGAACTATCTTGCTTTGCATATAATGAGTCTCATATATTAGTTTCACCTTTTAAGTTGTATTACTGAAATAAATGAACTTTTGCACGATATTCTAATTTTTCGAGTTTCACCTGTATAGCCTCAGCTACAAACAGTATACAACTCCTTGTTCAAGCAGTGGGATGGGGACTTTCCTTCTCACCCTTGCAACAAAATAGAGTTGTCCTGGGAAGCTTTGCTTTCTATAAATTAATACAAACCTTCCCTTGAATGGCTGAGGTAGAGGCAGATGGATGGTGTCATAAACTCTGCCTCTGCCAATAAGAGGAAGCTTTACACTGCTTGGCACAAACTAATTAAATGGACTTTAAAGTGGCTGTAAAGGCTGCATGAAAACCTTCTGCATGCAGCTACCCCCCAACCTCCCAAATACTTACCTGAGCCTGATCTCGATCCAGTGATGTGAACTAGAGCAGAGGCTATCTCTGCCCTTCTCCCTCCTCATTGGCACAGACACAGCAGCAGGAGCCAATGGCAATCACAGCCAATGAAGAGGGATCAGGGCTGAGCTGTGCTCTGTGTCCTATAAACACAGATCCGACTCGGGAGTGAGCATGCAGGTGTGCCACGATAGGAAGTGGCTTCCTATTGTGGCACATCAAGAAGAGGAGGAGCCAGGAGTGCTGATGGGGAACCCAAGAAGAGAAGGATCAGGGCTGCTCTGTGCAAAATCACAGAGCGGGAAAGTATAGCATGTTTGTTATTTTTAGAAAATAAAATAGCAAGGTTTACAATAATTTTGAATGTGAAGATCAGCTTCCATCATATGCCATCGATTGCAGACCATTGTGGCATTGTTTCATCTTGCACCAATAACTTTGCACTACTCTTCAGTAATTGCTATAGAAGTTATTGCACATTAACCTGGATTATTGTGGAAATCTCTCTTAAGCAGTGAGCAGTCTTGTGCCTAATGAAACTGACAATTGTCCTTCTGGTTTATTCCTCAGTGATTCTGGTCATAGAATCACTGATAAATTAAAGTG